ATGGAGTTAGCCGAGTGAATCCACTTGGGAATGTTAACGGTTCCTTCACTCTCTCGTATTTTTCTAAGCATCAGCGTCTTTCAACTGTCTGTTCGACGTTCAATCGTCTGATATCACAAGAAAGCTCTTACAGACAAAAGAGCAACACGTGCAGTTAACAAACAATATCGTAAACTGAAATGAACAAGAGGAACAAACGATTTATGTGAAATAAGAACAGGCTGGTAAGAGACTGTAAGAATGAAACAGAGCGAAAAATGGAAAATTCAAACTGAAAGAGAGAAATGTGTCGTCATAAATTTTAAACATACGTGTACAAGAAACAAATGAGGTGGAAAATGACGGCACAAAGTAACAGGAACAGAGCACAAGTAATGCACGAAGTCTGTAATAATACTGATGACGCAGTTTCACATCTGTGGCACGTGTGTTGACTTTGAAGACGCATGATTGTCACCTCCAGGCACACACCGCAATTTTATTTACCCAGTTGAAGCCTTTGTGATTTCAAGAGAAAATGACAGTGTTGTGGCACTGTTCGATCCACCAGGGCAACAGAAACAGACGCTTCATGTATTTTATGACGATATCAAACATTTCCTTCAGCATGTAAATACGTAGAAGGAAACTGATTTGGAATAACCTGTATGGAGAAGCATTCAGACTGCAGGGGCTTCGTCCTTGTATAACAAACAAAATATCAACCACTTCGGAATGAACTACCTCGATGTAGCAGAGTCAGGAGGTGATGGTGTTTCTGATAATGAAGAAACACATAATCAAAAGCTTTCACGGCGACTAATTTTGATAAAATCTTTGGCTATTAGCCATGTCAGTTGGTTAAAATCACCACGTGATTTCACCAAGTAATGTTGCAGCTCTGATGACGAAGACAGAGGTGTTCCTGAAACGACGGTAATTTTTAGCCAACTGACAGCCAGAGAAGATTTTAGTTGGAAAGAAACCTCCAAACTTACAACCTTAGTAACATCAAACTAATAGATTATATCCGGCAGCGGTTATCAATATGACCGTCTTCTGGAAAGTTGCTTGCTGCGTCCATATCTCATCTCCCTGATGATGGAAGCAGCGAGCGTCTCCAAAATGTAAACTACTACCAGATCACATGGTGCAACATCCTAGAAAACAATAATTATGAAATGTTTATGGAGTTTACAAACAGGAATAAATTAATTCTGCGTTTTTCAACTCCACATTGATGTGAAGTGTTGTGGTATAAGTAATCACCAGTCAGAGACAAATGGACACGCGTGTGGGTGTCATGAAGCGATGGGAAATATGTGTCCTGACCCGAATCTCTGAGAATTCTGGGTCAAAATGAGATTCTGACATGCTTTCACTTCTTTACGAATAAAGACATCATACTGACGTTCTCTAAAGGAAATGTTATCGCGGACAAGGAATATGTCCGTGATTCATTTACCGGCCATTCGTTCTCTACACCGTGATCTGAATTTTCGACATGCCACTGTTTTGTTTTATAATATGAGGTTTACACGGTGACGCTGTCAATAATTCAAACTTCACAGGATAAATGATAAATTGGAAAGGATACGAAAGGAAAAGACCCTAGCCTAATGAAATAATTTCATTCGCAACAACTGTGAAAGTATAAATGCAGATTCACTGTCTCTGTTTTGGAGTAATTCACAGCGCTTTTGTTAATAATAACAAATTAGTCTACCCTGTCTCTTGATCGAAAATTAATGACAGTACCTTCAAAATACGAAGCCAGAATAACAAAAATGAGGACCTAGTTAGCAACGTTCTGAGTGGATTTGAAGGAGATTATAAAAATAAGAAATACTTTCATTTCGAACATAAAATGAGAATTTTTAAAGTATGTATAAAATATAAAACGAATAGAACACGTTATTGCGGAATTTTCGGAAAACTATACGAAATATTTCATATCCAAAGTTGTTACTGAACCAAAATGTGATTTCAAACTTCAACCATAAAGAAGAGCATATAGGTAAGAGGTTGTATATCATCAACGTCTGACATCTGCATCTTCACGACCCATTCCGGCGACCGACCCTGCTGAGATGAGTTAAGGCTGGCGGCAAACTTGACAAAGATGAAAGAGCTGTTTGTCTTCCTTTTAGATTTCCTTGCAAGAGCTGGCGAGTGACGAACAGTTTTCATGACATGGCATTGCACATAAGAAATCAACTGCACAAAAACCAGTGCTACTGTCATATAAACTCACCCAATGAATGAGTGTCGGGAAGGAAAGAAGCTTCACAAATCCCGCAGCAAATAAATACGACCACAACCTGAGAAGCCACTTCAGCGCATTCTTTGTATATTGTACGAGAAAAATGCAAAAATAAATCAAAGTATAAGCATCTAAAAACACCAAGACAAGTGAAAAATGTAAAATTCTTATAACATACATTCATGCAGATAAGGGTAGACTATATTATTGTTTAAAATGTGAAATACTAAAATATTTCAGTGTTTAATTCGTGCAATCAATAGCAACGATCACACATTCACTTCAGATGGACAATATATATGGAACCACTGCGCACCACCTTCTGCGCATATGCCCCACTAACCTAACCTAACCTAACCTAACCCAACTAGACCGAGACCAGACATCGGTGATCAATGGCCTACTGCGCACGAATTTTGAAATTCAAGAAAGGATGGTCGGAAGTTAACGGAATTTCGTATGGACGTCATGCCACAGGTAGGTTAATGAAATACATATTCTATTATATCATAACAATTGTAATAAATTAACACAAAGGCGACAAAGTCGGGAGGTGGACACAAGTGAAATCGGCCACGATCAATATATAAGAAACGTAAAATTAAATTAATTATGCACACAAATGCATGTTCTCATTAAATAAATCGTGTGTATAAGAGATTATATACGTGTTGGAACACATATACTTACAAAAGAATATTTTATTACGAATGAAATATACCTCAAATACGGGAACACCGGCCGCGGCAGGTACACACGTAGGAAATCGAAATACAGAATCAATCATACGTAATTACATAGCTACGAACGACCGTAAATAAGTGTAAGTGAATGATTTTGCGTCAATTAACAATTTAATGTCGGCCTCAAACACTTTTACAAAGTATTCGGAATAGTAAAATATGAACGGAATGATACGAATCGATGGCCTACGTACTAGATTATTTTTATTTACTATCACGAGGAGGCGCGTTGTTACATATATTAATATATCGACATTTCTCACAGAGCAACGAACTCTGCTGGAAGCTGCAATGAATCAAATTAACAAACATCGCTGGTAAGTTCCTTAATGCATAACTTCAGTGACGAGAGATGTCGTGCGCATCGCATCGCATCAGTCAGTATTGATTTTATCATGGAGCATTGACATGTTCGGCAGTGAATGGCTGCAAAACACTTTCGCTTGGAATTATAGGATGTAGGTTTGGACATTACAAGTCAGAGTGTTGTTCAAAACAATTCATCAGCAACCTGAAGAATAACAACCTTGCCTACGAGTGGAAAGTACAGTGTTCTTCCTACAGCGAAGACAAGTAAACATGTTCTAATGACGTAAGCAAAATGGAGTAAAGTAAATTTTCCATACGAGGTTTGATATCAGTGTAACCGTTACTTAATGGGAAAAACCGATAGAATGACGTGAAATGCCCGTCGACACACCATGAGACCTGAGAAGAGACATGTGTCTGTATAAGTAATACGTAATAAACATCCGGATTTCACGAATAAGCAGCACCTGGACGTGTGTAAAGTCGATGTAAATATTTTAATTTTGGTGATGAAGCTAGAGGTGGTTGTAATATCTACATCGTGTGAAAATAAAAGCATTTGAAATATTTTAATATTCTTTTCAATATATGACGACGACAGATGCAATTTCACACCATAAATATGCATAAAACCTTGTTTAAGTGGAGTGCGACCGTAGCAATTACAAAGTCTACAAGTAAGTGAAAAATGTAAAATTCTTATAACATACATCCATGCAGATAGGGGTAGACTATATTATTGTTTAAAATGTGAAATACTAAAATATTTCAGTATTTAATTCGTGCAATCAATAGCAACGATCACACATTCACTTCAGATAAACAATATATATGGAACCACTGCGCACCACCTTCTGCGCATATGCCCCACTAACCTAACCTAACCTAACCCAACTTGACCGAGACCAGACATCGGTGATCAATGGCCTACTGCGCACAAATTTTGAAATTCAAGAAAGGATGGTCGGAAGTTAACGAAATTTCGTGTGGACGTCATGCCACAGGTACGTTAATGAAATACATATTCTATTATATCATAACAATTGTAATAAATTAACACAAAGGCGACAAAGTCGGGAGGTGGACACAAGTGAAATCGGCCACGATCAATATGTAAGAAACGTAAAATTAAATTAATTATGCAGACAAGTGCATGTTCACATTAAATAAAACGTGTGTATACGTAATTAAATACGTGTTGGAACTTAGACTATATTATTGTTTAAAATGTGAAATACTAAAATATTTCAGTGTTTAATTCGTGCAATCAATAGCAACGATCACACATTCACTTCAGATGGACAATATATATGGAACCACTGCGCACCACCTTCTGCGCATATGCCCCACTAACCTAACCTAACCTAACC